TCACTTGCGCACCTGGAAATAGACTCACTTACGCACCTGGGAAATTCACTCACTTACGCACCTGGAAATAGACTCACTGGCGCACCTAGCTGGAGGTGCCTCCCCTGCGTTCCACCATCCAATGGTCTCCATTCTTATCGTAAATTACCAGGAAATTACGCTATCACGCAATGCAAAAAAAAGGTCCTGAGAGCAACCTGTCTGCCACGACACCTTTAGGGTTTCTATCTTGTTGCACTTGATGCAAGAAGAGCCACGACACCTTTAGGCTTTATATCTTGTTGCACTTAATGTAAGGAGAGCCACGACACCTTTAGGGACTATATCTTGTTGCACTTTATGTAAGAAGAGCCACGACACCTTTACGCTTTATATCTTGTTGCACTTGATGTAAGAAGAGCCACGACACCTTTAGGGTTTCTATCTTGTTGCACTTTATGTAAGAAGAGCCACGAGACCTTTAGGGTTTATATCTTGTTGCACTTGATGTAAGAAGAGCCACGACACCTTTAGGGTTTCTATCTTGTTGCACTTGATGTAAGAAGAGCCCCGACACCTTTAGGGTTAATATCCTGTTGCAATTGATGTAAGAAGAGCCACGACACCTTTAGGGTCTATATCTTGTTGCACGTAATGTAAGGAGAGCCACGGCACCTTTACGCTTTATATCTTGTTGCACTTGATGTAAGAAGAGCCACGACACCTTTAGGGTTTTTATCTTGTTGCGCTTTATGTAAGAAGAGCCACGACCCCTTTAGGGATTATATGTCGTTGCAATTGATGTAAGAAGAGCCACGACACCTTTAGGGTCTATATCTTGTTGCACTTGATGTAAGAAGAGCCACGACCCCTTTAGGGATTATATCTTGTTGCACTTGATGTAAGAAGAGCTACGACACCTTTAGGGTCTATATCTTGTTGCACTTGATGTAAGAAGAGCCACGACCCCTTTAGGGATTTTATGTCGTTGCACTTGATGTAGGAAGAGCCACGACCCCTTTAGGGATTATATCTTGTTGCACTTGATGCAAGAAGAGCCACGACCCCTTTAGGGCTTATATCTTGTTGCACTTGATGTAAGAAGAGCCACGACACCTTTAGGGTTCTTGTTGCACTTGATGTAAGAAGAGCCACGACACCTTTAGGGTCTATATCTTGTTGCACTTGATGTAAGAAGAGCCACGACACCTTTAGGGTTAAATCTTGTTGCAGTTGATGTAAGAAGAGCCACGACACCTTTACTAGGATGCCCCCCGGGACTTATGGACTTATAAGTCAGTTAGAGTGGACTTAAGTATAAGTGTTTTTGATGGACTTATAACTTACTTATAAGTCCAGTCATAAGTAGCTAAGTTTTTCTAAGTGTTTTCAGGTGTATTTTGCTTTATTTAGGTTTAGGCCTTGTTTTGTTTGATTTTATACCGTTTTCACACAGGTACCAGAGCTCTTTTTTCACCACAAGAGGCTGATGGATCCATCATCGTTGCTTCGAAAGTATTGTGGTGAAACACTTTGGTCCAGACGCTTTGCATCCGTTATCTCATGAGCGCCAGGGACGTAGTTCCAAGTTGCAAGAACTGCATAACCTTTGTTGTTTTTTGCTTTTTTCATCCGTTGCAGATACACTTCCACCGTTTCCCCTCGGCAGCGAAAGAATTGAATGCATGCAGTGGTGCCATCTGAGAGCCGGACAAATTGGTTTCGGCTATACGTGACACACTTGTACTCCAACTCAGTCGCTTCTGAGGCAAGGTCGGACTGTGCTGGGCCAGAGACATTCATACGTCCTCTTAGGACTCGAAGCCCAAATTTTTCCACGGGCAAGGCCTTGTTTAAGTCTTGCGTGACAAGTTCAAGTAAGACTCCTTTGGAGAACGCAGGAGAATTGCTCCAGTTGGATGCTGCGCGTGCCTTGTATGCTTTGTTCTTCCTTTCGCATGGAAAGCAATCGATATGGAGACCAAACTTCTGAATTTGTGCCGTTGTATGCAAGGCATAGTGAAATTTGGGTCGCATGCCGCATGCATTGGCTTGAGTAAGCTTCAGTGAAGCATCTCATGTGCGCCTGCTGCTTGGTCAATAGTGTTGTGGCTGCTGGTGGATATCTTTTGGCTTCAGCCAATACAGAAACGACCTCGTAGAGAGATTTGAGGGAAGCAACGGCTGCTTGCACTGCCGCAATCTCTGTGAGAATTTCTTCCGAAAACCCAACACAAAGAATGAGCGCCAATGCAGATGCTGCGCATTCCCCTCGGAAATCACCACCGTCTCGCCACAGTTTTTCTTCAAAGAAGTGTTGCGGCCCCACTTGTTTTGCCGCAGGTGAATTTGGGCAACGTTGCCACATCGCCGCATACAGTGCGAGCTGTGCGAGAGTGACCTGGGCATGGTGCTGCACCAGCTCCCACCAATGGCCCAATTCACATCCGATAATGCCGTTACTATAGTAAGCGTGCATGGTGTCAAAGTGAACTGTGTCAACGGAAACCCACTTCTCCAAAGCAGGCTCCGTTAATGGACCAGCCAGCAACATCGCAGCATTCCAGCCCAAAAGTTTTTCGAGTTCTTGTTTCTTACCTTTTTTTTCTTCTGTTCTCAAGCGGTCCGCTGCTGCTCGGACAGAGCCATCAGTGGCCGGCCAAAAGTTGGCTAGATCAGCGTGGCTGATATCAAAGTGGTCTTTGACTTCTGCGGCCTTATTTAGGGACAAGAGATTGAGGCATTTGATGCAGCATTTCAATCCGCTGGCACCCTTCGTGCCAGTGCAAGCTCGAATCGCCTCGTGATCCATCAACAGAATGACTGAATCTATGAAGCAAAGCACTGGCTCCCCCATGGATCCCAAATCGACCACGAAGCCATTAGCTGTTTCAGATCGTATCTGCAACAGCATGGCTTTGGTCAACGCAGCCATCCCCCCGTCCATGGCGGCAATTTCTTTGGAGCGAGTCACTCCCAGGGTGAGCCATAGATCTTCCAGAAAAATGACGTCAAATTCCAGCCATGTGAAATAAGTGAGATTACTTTTTCTGGCGTGATTTGGACTCAAGATGTTACCTCCCGATACCTCATCTTGATAAAAGATGAGATTGAGATGGTTCTGTTTTTTTTTAAAGCCCTTTGCATCATAAGACGATACAAGGGACATGCGTCAATCTTGGCTTGCACCAATGCAGGCAAACTCATGCTCCAGGCCTTAAGAGGTCTACCCGTTTCCACTTCCTGCAGGGATAGTTCACGAAGGCACGGGAACGCTTTGGGATGATTGACACTTGGGCGCTTAGCCGTGCCACCACCTCTGTCATCATCCCGAACCAATCGCACAACTTGTCTGCATTCAGCGGCAGTCAAGGAACCGATCTGTCTTACAGACCGATACTGATTCGACAATTAAAAAGAGAAGGCATTCCCATTGCCTCCTTCGGATGCTTCCAGAACTCAAAGCACCTTATACCATATGCAAGGAGGATTTCTTTTCATGACGTTACCTTGTACTTGGTCCAATGCATTCCAAGATATATCCATCTATATATATATGGCATGGACTCGATATTTGCAGATTGAATCCTTTTTCATACATGGCATATTGGTTCGTACTTGAGCGTTAATTGCCACGCGCGTGTGCTTCCAGTGTTTTCACTCGAGCCACCCAGCTGCAATAACGAGGCGATGCATGCATCTGTGTAGCATATGTATGGGGATAGCAGGGGGAATATAGGATTTCCATATGGATGTAAATACATATATATATATATATTTGATTTTGTAGCGCTATATGAAGAGCTATATGGAGGAATCATGTTGTCAATATATATATATATATTTATCGATATATATATACTGTATATATAGATCTATAGTCTCAGACATATTATAGATAGATATATATAAATATGTATATATATATATATTCATATAGATTGGATATTCTTACCTATATATGCGTAATATAAGGGAATCCAAGTCTGATGTGTTCAACTTAGACATGCTGCAGAAACGTCAATGAGATCTCAAGGTCATTGCCGCGCAAAGCTTTGTGTTGCATTTATAACACTTTGTCTTGGCAGCATGCGATAATGCATTTCGCTTCTTTTCTGCTTCTCCCCTGCAGTTGATCAGCACAGTTTGCCTCACTTTCTATTTGGGACTTGGAACGGACCTTCGCTTTGAAAAGCTCAACACAGAGCAAAACGAGAGGTCAACAGTGAATTTCTAAAGCAAATTAAATTGGCTCGCATGCGCTCGCTCACTTGTTTCCTCCCTTGCTGCGCACACGGCGAGCAGGTGGATTTGCTTCGGCCCCCTCCGCAGCTGCCGTGTCCGTGGCCTCTGCTCCTGCCTCTGCCGCCTTGCGCTTACCGGCCGCCTTGGCTTTAGGCACCGGCAAGTGTTGACGCAAATTGGCTTGCACCTCCACCACAGTCTTGTGGAGACACTTCACATCAGCCATGTCAAACGGCGGAGCGGTCAAAGCCACTTTACCGGTCTGGGCTGCTTCCTCTTCCCAGTCTTTGAGAAGGCCCTTGGCAGCTTGGCTCCAACGCTGCAACTTTCCCACATTGTCCTCGTAGACCGCTTGGATCGGTTCTGGTAAATCAGCAGGAACACGAGCACGTAGCTTGGTCAGGCTCTGGAGATCCTGAGCCAGAGGTGCGACAGCTTTCGCAGCCAGCAGCTGCATCTTCTGATTCGAAGCTTGATTTTTCTTTTCTTGCGCAGCTTCAGCTCTGGCAGCCTTTTTCTCTGCGGCCGCCGAAGCATCTCCTTTCTTGGCAGCCTCGGGAGCCGGCAGATCCAAAGCCGCTTCCGGCTCAGCTTCCTTCGGCCCACGGGGTCGTGCCATGCGCTTGGCAGTGGCCTCCTTCTCCTGACGGAGAATTCTCTCTTCCACAGCTTGGTACGTCTGCTTCCAAGTCATGCTCTTCACGGGGACCTGATATGTGTCACATCCGTACTGTTCATTCCACTCCTTGGGACAATTCCGCACGGTCTGTTCCGGCCAACCTTGCTTCAGCCAAACATCCAGCGGAAGGAATTGGGTATCCACAGCCGTTGCATTTTCCGTCATTTGTCGAGTTGTCAAGGAGGTCACGAGACACGCTCGCACAGTTTTCCAGTCGATTCTGGAGTCCTTCGCGTTGGCCTTTTCCACAGCCAACTTCTGGAAAAAGCTGTGTTGTTCCTCCACACTGAGGTTTTGCAGCTCGTCCTTTGAGCCAAGGCCCCGACGTAGAAGTCGGTCTGCGCTGGCGCACGGAGTGCACGTAAACTTTCGACCGTGCACTCTGCCACTTTCGACCTCGTGGGTCAAGTTGCACAGAATGCAGCGGTGCTTGCACGCTTCCTCCGCAGGAGCAGCCGCCATGAGACAAAGGGGACTGATCTGACACAACGGGAGATAAAGAAGAGGCCTTGGCAACTATGGAGCCACTTTGAGTCTTGAACCAAAAAGGTACGGAAACTTGGAGGTTTTATCACAGACCCGCGGACAACGGATTTCAGTCGTTCTTCCGCGGACAAGAGGAAAGATATCGGAATCAAGGCTTTTTTTTAGTCTTATATATTAGTTAAGCTTGCGGACAACGCGGACAAAGCATCTACCTGACAGAGCCGCGGACAACCGCGGACGTTCGCGGACAGTTCGCGGACAGGGACCGTTTCTCACCACACGCATCGAACTTCTGGTCTTCCCTACCGCAAGGCCCAGCAATCTACCAACAGCAGCGACACCTGCTTCTCAGCCTCGTGGGCCCAGCTTGACGCAGGCAGCAGCGTGAGATTCTCCTGCAAACGCTTTAAATCACCGGCAACATCGGAGAATTGCTCCATATGGAAATATCCCAAACTATGCTTGTACCTGGACCACTGATCCGTCCAGTCATACATGCTGCATAAGATGGTCTTTTCAGGAGTCGGCTCCTCAGACACAAGTTGCCAGTTCGGTTGCAAGCACGTCTGAATAAGCTTATTGAGACGAAGCACTTGCTTGGCAGCCGCCACATCCCCAGCCTCATAGGCACGAGCTTCTGCTTGATCCAAGCACTCAGACACCGTGACCCAGCATGTTTCCCACGAGGTCCACAAAGACAGCTGGCTAGAGGCAGCAGCTTCCAGCGCAGCACGGAAAGTTGCCAAGTCATCTTTGGATATATTGAAGTGACATGGCTGTGGCATTTTCCAACTGCTATCTGTCTATCCGGAAACCCATTCGAGCCACAGCTACCCAAGTTTCAGAGATTCTTCATACATATATGTGTTTCGAAGAATATATCCTGACCACCAAAAAAAACTCTCATTCTGTTATCTAGTGGAAACCTTTGAAGCCAAGTATACTTATAAACCCCGTTATTTGAAATCCCCAGGCATCCCCTGACACGAACGCGGTGCACTCTTTTTTCCAGACACAGTGCAACGCCATATCAGCGTAAGAAAAGGAGTTCACGGCCTGCCGGTGTCTCAGGCAATGTTGATGATCACCTGCCTCCCCCCGGCGCTGCTGCTCTTGGCTCCCTTCGGCTTTGCGCGCTTAGCGGCCGATGGCTGCGGCGAGGGGTCTGGCTCATCCTCCTCGGAGCCGCTTGGGCTTGGCACCGGGACAGGCTTCGGAAGCGGCTCCCGGGGCTGCACCGTGCGAGACTTGCGTGACACAGAGCGGGAGCTCGGAGCCCCCGACTCTGCGTCCCTCAGATCTTCCTGCTCACGCTGAGCTCGGAGCTCCGTGGCCTTTGCCAGAGTCTTCCCCCATTCCTCCTGCGTTTGGCGTTTTACCGGAAGCTGATTCCAGAATTGACACCGCAGGCACTACAGATTCATATACATGTGCTGCTTCTGTCCACTCAGTTGCGTTGTGAGGGATTTCTTACAGTGCGGGCATTTAACCCGATCTGCTTTCTTTTGGTCCCAGTCGCCCTCATGCTTCTTCGTGGCAGCTCGCTGTTTCGGAAGTAACTCCACCTTCTTCGGAGGCTTTCCCGTCGGTTCGTTCGGACGATCACTGCGGGAAACGGGCACCCGGGAGCGGCCACGAGACTTGTCACGGGCCTTGCGGTCCTCCTTCTTACTCACCCGCTCACGAGAGCGTGTGCAACCTTTCCGGGAGCGACGGGAACGGTCCCGCTCCTTTGAGCGCCTCTCTTTCGACGCATGCCTGCCACGATCCCGGCTCTTAGCACGGGTCTCGCGGCGCTCCTTCTTGTCAAAGGGAGACTCTTTTGCGTCTTTGCGGTCCTTCGTCTCTGTCTCCCTCGGTTCCGGCTGGGGGCCCTTAGCCTCCTCCTCGTCCGAGACGTCTTCCTCCGAGGACTCTTCGTCCTCATCGTCCGGAGCCATCGAGGCCTGCGGCAGCATGACATGCGACCAAACATTGCCAAAAAAAATGAATGGGTTATATATACGTATCGATCTATACATACCCATATATAAAAGCATCCAATATGTAACATTCGTATCTATGTATAAGTCTATCATAGACACAGATATAGAACTCATCTCAGAACACAT